ACTTGTCCTCGGGCCTAGTGTCGCTCAACAGAACCCTCGGACAACTATGTCTTATCTTAATGGTAATTAATTAATAATTAACATCACTTAACACAACCGTTGTATTCGTAAGTTCGTAGCACAATAATACTAGAGGCACCAACACTTAAGTTATCTCAACCTCTCAATTCGCTTGAACCCTGATTTCGTGTTATAGGAGCGGCTCAAATGTACGAAAACGGGGTGCTTGCATTCGTCGACGTGAACTTTCTAGCCGATATTCATATTCGAGCTCTGGAGGATCAGTCCACATGCGGGAGGTACTTCTGCTTTAATAGAATTGTGAATACTGAGGATGAAGCTGTTAAGCTTGCCGAGAGCTTAAGCCCTTTGATTTCAATGCCACCAAGGTATGAATAAGAACTCTCCGAGTAGGAACATAAGTAATTTTGATGGAGGTATAAAATGACAACGTTTTGAGGTTGATTGGTGTCCTTTGTTGCATGCAGGTATGAATACCATGGGAGTGAGGTGCATACCGAGCGATTGAGGACCAAAAAGTTGAGCAAGTTGGTTGAGGGCGCTGCCTATTAGTACAAGATGACAGATTCTTTCATAAGTTTGTAATTTTCTTATTAAGATCAACAATTGTGCCAGAATGTTATGATGTGTAGAGTATTTGAAAATAAATTAAGGTTTTTTATTATTTATAATAAGACCCAACATAAGTTTGTTTTATCACATGAAATAACCCGATGGCAAAATAACAACTAATTATTATTTATTTTTTTTGAAGACCTTTCTTATTAAAAGAGACGATAATACACTAAATTCACACACATAATATAGATGCTAGGACTCGATGTTAGAAGTATGCCCTAAAAGCCAATCATTTGATGAAATCTGTCATGAAAACTTCGTTTAAACCAACCATTTAGGTTAACACTTAAGGGCAAGTATGTCGACTAAGGTAATGGCCCAGACGTGACCATTAACCTATTTGACAAGTCCATGGATTCATGAGATAAGGAAAGTGATCTAAATAGGTTAGATGCAAAGAGACCTTTTCCTATAACTCATACACAAAATGTTCCCGGTCATAGGATCATTCAACTGGGCATTGTCGCAAAGATCATTATGCACTATATCTGCTCAACTAGGAGGATGACTACTCTTGAGTCATTCGTGTATGGACACTGAGATAAGTGTGTAGGTGCTCGTTAGAGAATGAGTTCACTGAACTTGATCAAACTAGAAATCTTGTATGGAAGTTTTACTATCATGTCAAACAAGATTTCATTAGTTGCATTAACGCAAGATTAATCCTTAGACCCGAGACACCATGGTTTCCTTATGGATGCGTAGTCAGTCTCTGATTGTATCGTAAGGTTGAGCTCATCCCTGGGCTCGGCTCAAGGTAACATCGGGATCTTCGACAAGTCCATATAGGCAAGTGAGTGTACGACAAAGGATCTCGACTTCTAATAAAAGGGAGAGAATGTTTTTAGATATGATTTGGGAATCCCCGGCCGGAGTTAGAGCTCAATTAAGAAATAGTCTTCTAATTGTGTTCATATTAAATCATATAGCCAAGAGCGATCACGTTAGGGATTTGAGATGAATTTCATATCTTATTAACGAGATCAAGAACATTGGAAAATAAAAAAGGATTGAATTGCTTTGTAATTCCAACTAAATGGATTCTCCTAATATATAATATATTAGCTTGGGTAGCCGTGACATGTTGCTAGACATCACTCATGGTTTGTGGAAGCCCTAAGGACATTTCGTAACTAGGTCCTCATTAAAGCTGTAATTAAAAGGGAGTTTTAATTCACAATCGATAAAGAAAGAATTCGAGATCGCCCACGGCCTTGCTAATTAGAACCCAATAGACCATAAGTTCGTAATTTGAATAATAATGGAAGATGACAAAATCAACGATTAAGCCAATTAATTAGATTAATAGGTTAAGGAAAAAATTAATTAAAAAGTTAATTAATTACGTTGAAATAGAATGAGCCTTGAAATAGTTTAATTACCCAAAGTTAGAAAGTGTTAGAAAATGCTTGCAAACTTAGTAGTGTATAGAGATTACCGAGCAGAAGCAATCGACAACTTACTTGCACTTACGAGCCTCAAATACTTTTTGAACGAAACACAAAATTTCTACCACGAATCTATAAAAGTTGCCCCCATGATTTTCCATGTTAACAAGCCCCAAGGGATTGGTGGTCACCTTTGAGAGAGAAATGGATGGGTTCTTAGGTGGTAAGGGGAGCACAAGTTTGCTCTATTATCTGGTTTCTTAGGATGATTAGGGAGGCCTCCCAACACCTCTATTTATAGGGGGTTGTCCATATTCCACCACATAGGTTATCTTATCACCTCTAACCATATCTTAAAACAATAAATGTAATTTAAAGTTTGTGAAAATAAACTTACATTAAGAAATTGAAGACCTTGTTACACTAAGTGGTTGAAAAAGTAAAATCTAGCCTAGGAATTGAAAAGTGTAGAATAATAAGTAGAATTCTGGTGTTGTGTTCAATGTCCCTTTCTCTTTTTTCTGAAGAGGTATATAGATAGAGTTTCCATCAGCCCATGGTCTTGGTGATTAATTGGCCATAAGTAACTTCTGTTTTCCTTGTATGTCCTCCTAATTTTAGGAATTTTGTTGATGAAGACTTCTTACTGATTTGAGACTCAACTTCTTGATTTTCTCTTATTTGATGGTACGTTTACTTACAAGTAATGGAAATAAGAAGAGGGAATGATTTAGGGGCTGTTTGGTATTCAACTTGAATTCAACTTTTAAAACTCAAAAATAGAATTTGAGTCCAAATCAAAGAAAACCTGTTTGGTAGCCCTATTTTTAAAAACTCAAACTCAAGAACAACTAAAAAAACACCCCAATTATTAAAAAC